GCATGCTATTTGGGGAGGACCATAGCGTTGCGCTCCTTTTCACCCCACAGAAAAAAAGGTGTGGCGCCCCCAGTTGGCAATTAACAGAACAGTATTAACAGTATTTGTTTAATATACAGAAGTATATTAAACAAAAATAAGTTTGTTGCGTGGGTGTATGTAAAAAGGTTTCCTGGGAATACAAACATACAGTGATGCCCAATGTCTTGTATTTCGAACAAAGCAGTTTGAATTAAAAACAAGATATGTTCTTGTAAAGATACTAATTTATTGTTGATATCACACATTTAATTATGTTATAGTTACACTTGGCCAGATTTATTTTTTTCAGTGAGGGAGTAATTAAAAGGCTGAGAATTTTAGAAATTTTAATGCATAACAGGAATGACAGCATATTTAGTTCTTGTTTTAACATATATTTAGTAACAGGACAAGACCTTCCTCATGGAAAAAAGTATTTATATTTTCCAAGTAAAACGATGCATGTAGCTGTGATCTGTATAATTTTGCTTTGGATTTGGGATTTCCAAAATCACCAGGTAAGTGCATCAATTTCAGGTGTTTTAACTCCTAGACACGTAAATAATTACTCTTAAGATTTATCCATCCATTCATTATCGTAACCGCTTAATCCCCACTGGGGTCGCGGGGGGCCCAGAGCCTATCCCGGGAACAATGGCCGCAGGTGGGAACCAACAACACCGCAGGGCGCACACACTCACACGACTACAGGGCCAATTTAGACACACCAATTAGCCTATCCTGCACACTTTTGGACTGTGGGAGGAAACCAGAGTCCCCGGCGAAAACCCACACGAACATGGGGAGAGCGTGCAAACTCCACACAGAAGCCTTAAGATTTATTTTAAATTAATTTATTGCCATTTTTTATAGCAAGACTCCTCACGGACCAAGATTTCAAGGGCATTTTGTACAATTCAGCTGTACAGCTTTAACTGGTTCTGCAGTCTTTTTCTCCCCACACCTTCTGCTTGTTCCCTTCTTCTCTTTCTATCTTCACTCCAGGAGAGCTCCTCAGATATCTCCAGCCTGCAGTTCCTGGGAAAATCCACCTGCCACACTTTGGAGCAGCAGCCCATTCTCAGGATCTCATACAATCAATCAGTCAGACTTTATTTATATAGCACTTTCCCCACAAACACAATGCAACACAAAGTGCTTTACATAATAAAAAACAACATCAACCCACCCCTACTGCCACCCTCACCCAAACTATGTAAAATAAAGGTACAAAATAAATGAAAGACAATTATAAATGAATAAGTGAATAAACAAATAAATAGATGAGTAAATAAGAAAAGGATAGACATGACAATAAAAATAGGACCGAGGAAATGTTATCTTCGATCTCAGAAATTTGCATGAGGAAACGCCAGAGGCAGGTTAAAATATAGTGAGTAAAATTATGAATGGTGAGTTAATAAAAAGGAAAGGATAAAGTTACGGTACATAATTAAATATAAAGATAAATAAAGGAGGAGAAAAAGTACAAGCAACTACAAAATAAAAGTATAAATGGTGGGATGTAAACAGAGGATAAAAATAGAGAGAACATTAGGGATATAATAATAAAATGGAGATAAACAGAGATGAGATGTTCTGGGATAAAAAAATAAATGAGTAAGATATTAAAAGAAAGATGATTGAAAGTATAAAGTAAAATGAAAGAGGACATACCAAGTAATAAGATGGACAAATACATAAATTGACAAATAGGTAATAAAAAAGTTAATAAAAAACACTCACCTAAAGGATTATTAGGAACACCTATTCAATTTATCATTAATGCAATTATCTAATAAACCAATCACATGGCAGTTGCTTCAATGCATTTAGGGGTGTGGTCCTGGTCAAGACAATCTCCTGAACTCCAAACTGAATGTCAGAATGGGAAAGAAAGGTGATTTAAGCAATTTTGAGCGTGGCATAGTTGTTGGTGCCAGACGGGCCGGTCTGAGTATTTCACAATCTGCTCAGTTACTGGGATTTTCACGCACAACCATTTCTAGGGTTTACAAAGAATGGTGTGCAAAGGGAAAAACATCCAGTATGCGGCAGTCCTGTGGGCGAAAATGCCTTGTTGATGCTAGAGGTCAGAGGAGAATGGGCCGACTGATTCAAGCTGATAGAAGAGCAACTTTGACTGAAATAACCACTCGTTACAACTGAGGTATGCAGCAAAGCATTTGTGAAGCCACAACACGCACAACCTTGAGGCGGATGGGCTACAACAGCAGAAGACCCCTCCGGGTACCACTCATCTCCACTACAAATAGGAAAAAGAGGCTACAATTTGCACGAGCTCACCAAAATTGGACAGTTGAAGACTGGAAAAATGTTGCCTGGTCTGATGAGTCTCGATTTCTGTTGAGACATTCAAATGGTAGAGTCAGAATTTGGCGTAAACAGAATGAGAACATGGATCCATTATGCCTTGTTACCACTGTGCAGGCTGGTGGTGGTGTAATGGTGTGGGGGATGTTTTCTTGGCACACTTTAGGCCCCTTAGTGCCAATTGGGCATCGTTTAAATGCCACGGCCTACCTGAGCATTGTTTCTGACCATGTCCATCCCTTTATGACCACCATGTACCCATCCTCTGATGGCTACTTCCAGCAGGATAATGCACCATGTCACAAAGCTCGAATCATTTCAAATTGGTTTCTTGAACATGACAATGAGTTCACTGTACTAAAATGGCCCCCACAGTCACCAGATCTCAACCCAATAGAGCATCTTTGGGATGTGGTGGAACAGGAACTTCGTGCCCTGGATGTGCATCCCACAAATCTCCATCAACTGCAAGATGCTATCCTATCAATATGGGCCAACATTTCTAAAGAATGCTTTCAGCACCTTGTTGAATCAATGCCACATAGAATTAAGGTAGTTCTGAAGGCGAAAGGGGGTCAAACACCGTATTAGTATGGTGTTCCTAATAATCCTTTAGGTGAGTGTATATGATAAGCAGCCAGATAAATAAAGTTTGGGTAAACGAATGGAACCATGAATTTTTGTTTGGACTTTAGGGATAATTAAAAGGCTGCTACCTGAAGGCCCAAGACTTCTACAGGGCTCATAGGATAAAAGCAAATCTGATAAATAGGTAGATCCAAGACCACTAACAGCATTGTAAACCAGGAAAAGATTCTTGATATCACCATTCATCAAATATTCACAACACCTGCAGACACCTGGAAGAAAGGAAAAACCTTTTGGAAACTTGCACAATAAATTTTACTTTAATTATCATTTTATTGTTTATGAGGTTTCATTATGTTTAATTGCATTAATGTTATGGATTAAGGCAATTAGAGAATAAATAATGGCAGGTTTTTAGTTGTAATTTCATGTGTTTAATCTGCTTCAGTGGAATGAATAAATGTAAAGCTGCGTCACATAGTTTAAGGTGATACCTCCACATACAAAAAATCATCACTGTTTATTTTAATTGATTATATATTTTTAATTGTTAACCAAATCATGAGTAATTTTGGCTTGATTAGAGAAAAAATTCTTAATAATAAAACGATTTGGTTCATACAGAAGATGCCATTTATGAAATCTAATACATTTAATTGCTAACAATGTTTTGCAATGGAAAAAAAAGCAAATATATACCAGGCACAAATTTAAGTTTTTAAAATTAAATATACAAAAGGGCTGCATTTACAGCTCAATCCTGAGTGCCATTGTTTTTTACAAAATATGTAGCACTGCAGGGAGGAGACACACTTTCCAGTGCATTACAGTTACAGAGCTAAGCCAGCAGAACTGAGGGAAAACATGCAAACAAACATGATCCCAGAGCTGTGAGATGGACGTGATCTTTGGTGAGACCCCTGGGTTGTCGTTGTCGTCTTCTTCCTTGAGCTTTGACAGTGAGGTCAGGCCTCTGACTCCAAGTCTCTCCTGTAAGTGGATCTTCACCCCTGGGCTGTGCTGAAGTTAGTTGTATCACAGGGTCTCAGGGTGTCATCAAACCTGCCACTTTAACTAGAAAAATGTTAAACCCCGTATCTCGTGTGTGTAGTTTGGCGAACTGTTTTTAAAGTTTAAATCCTTTGGCACTTTGCACATAATATGTCACACAGCAATACAGAATGGAATCAGTAAATAAAAATGTGACCTAAATAATGCAAATGTATCAAATACAGTGGTACCTCAGTTCTCAAACTCATTAGAAGTCGAACCAACCAGTTCGAAAAAAAATTACCTAGAGCTCGATCTGAATCTCAGAAGTCAAACCTTGAACGCCGACCTAAGATAACTTGTACGCGGGGAAATGAGTCACGCGATACGTCTCAGCGGAAACAAAGGGTAACGCTTCAGTTTCAGCCTCGCATTAGCTGTGATAGCATCGTGCATGTTTACACTAACTGAATATATATATTTTAGACAGTAAAAATACATCTAGACAATGATAGTAACAGTAATTATTATATAATAAAATACATTTAAAATGAAAGATTTCTTATTCATTATTTTAATATTAATAATAAACCAATAATACATTTAATAATAATAATAATATTGTCGTGCTGAGCAGGGGATGGAACGGAAACAAAGGCCAGACGTCAGGGTATCAGGGAATACGGGGTTTAATTACAGGCAAGGCAGGCAAAACGCAGACGGACAATACAATGAATGACAACAACCGGAAACAGCTGATCACACGGGGATTCCACACGGGGTTAACGAGGGGGCGTGGCACACGGAAGGAACGGACGATTGGGGCAGGACACATTGTTTGGATACATTTATTTTCATACTTTACAAAATACTGTTTTGATAAATGTGCTTAGATATGTTTAGTACAGTATATTCCCTTCTTGTTTTATCCGGTTGTGTTTAAATGCAAAAAAAAAAAACATATTTCGGTGTAATTTTTTGGGGCCGGAAACCAATTAATTGGTTTTCCATTATTTGTTATGGAGAAAATTCGATCAGAACTCGAACGTTTTAGGATTCGATCCGGAGTTCTGAACGGATTAAGTTAGAGTTCTGAGGTACCACTGTATTAGCAATGAATCAAAACAAGAGCAGATATACTTTTTCTATGAATACATTAATGTTAATATGTGTATATATGTGTGCATGCATGTGTATGTTTGTTAATCAAATATGCGTTTTGTCGTAATAATTTTTTTCATGGTTTTCCATAACCTTCCATACAAACTGCATGATCTTCATCCTCCTGACTCATTTTTAAAATGTGAAACCTGTGATTTCAGTTATTTCATCCTAAAAAGTTGGGAGTAAGTTTCTTTGTTCATCCATCATAAGCTCATTTATTGCATCTTCAGCTTTTTTACAAGTCTCCCGAAATATTTTATATTCCCTTTCAAAATCTGGGCTGGCAGGATCCAGACCCATAGGTTTTCCCAGAATGCTGATTGTGTCCATCAGGTGTTTTTCAGAAAAATTAAAGTAGGTCTCTGACAATTTGTTAATGAAGCTGGTTACAAGTAATGCCTGCATAACCATGTCAGTAATCAGCCTAAACCTGTCTTTTTGAGAAAGGTTCTGAGATTGTTTGGAAAAAAATTTCAGAGACCTATCCAGGCAGGTTTTCACAGTGTTTGAGATCATCTGAAAGAAGCGTACGATCTTCTCCCACTCTCTTCCCATGGCATCTAGATATTTGACCAGCATGTCAATGGTGGTTTTGAAGTCAACCTCTTTCACCTTACAGTTTTCCAGTGTTGTTAAGATCTCTGTCAGCTCTTTCTGGTTTTTCTCCAGGTTTTCCAAACTCTCTTGTTGCTTCACTCTCACCTTGTCCAGCTGGGCTTGTCTCTGCTCTATGCAGAAGTGGGCATTTTCCACCGCCTTATCACCTGCCCGTTTCTTGCCACTTTTCTTAGCTTGCTGTGGGGGTTCAGGAGTAAAAAAGTTCAGGAAGTGGGCATTTTCCACCGCCTTATCACCTGCCCGTTTTTTGCCACTTTTCTTAGCTTGCTGTGGGGGTTCAGGAGTAAAAACTGGTGTGATTGTGAAGGCTTTGTTCTCACAGTCAAATATCTGACACCGTTTCAACAGACTCTGCATTCTTCCAATCATGGCTTTTGTCTTCACAGCATCGCATTTCCCTTCAGGTGCGATCTCAGTGAGCTCAGAGCACAGTTTAATGGCGTCTGTGCAGATGTCAAGTGCGACCTTTTTAGCTTTACAGTTTTTCTCACTCTCCACTGAGGTTTTTACCTGATTATATTGTTCCCCCAGGTATAATGTCTTTGCCATATTTTCATTTTCATCATATATTTCAGACCATTTAATTTCCTCTTTGTCAATGAAGCTGTTTAGTGTTTCAGTCAGCTTCAGAAGCAGTATTGCTTTGGTGAGTATATTACACATAGCAAGGGTATCCTCACTTTCATCTGTTGCATCCTGAGAACCAGCTATGGTATTTCTAACATTTACATTACATATTTGACCTCTGCTCTTTGCAGTCATCCTTGTCAGTAAAGACAAAATTGTTAACATACCATCTATAAATGCATCTGACAGGTTCATAGAAAACACTTTCCATCCAGATGGTACTTTTTTAATTGCTTCATCAAAATTAATCTCTGCTGCTGCTACCTGTTCATTTACGTAATCAAACATTTTCTGGGCTCTTTCAGTAGCTAGATTTGATGCCTCTTTCTCAATTTCTAGCTCCTTACATTTACGTTCAACATTCTCCAGATCACTACCATATACCTTCTTTGCACTTTTACAAGCTTCTAAAAGTTCTTGGATCAGATTAATAACAAAGGTGAACTTTTTCTCTGTTTCATCAGCCAATTTTACACATTCGTCAGATATAGAAGACATGTCTTCCACTGTGACAGGGAGGAGTTTCTGGCGCCACTCATCACTGTCCTGTAATAACATCCTTTCAATGTAAGCTGGCACATTGCCAGTGTGGAGACGGATCTGGTCCATGTTCTTGTGAGCCTCATTGAATGCCGCCCATCCAGAATGAACCACTTCCATAAGACAGGCAGAGAATGAGTCTGGGTACTTGATGTACTGAAAACCATCTTTTGGAGGGTTTTTGTTGATGGAGAAATCTAAATTATTGGAGATTCTGACCAGCACCCCCAGAATGGCTATGGCGTCTGGGGCAGGTACCAGGTACTTCACCCAGTTACCATACGGTTGCATTATTGGTTTGATGTCTCTATCAATATACTTGGTAGGTTTCAGTAGGTCTGCCATTGTCCTCTTTCCTGTAAGGAATCAAAAACGTGTCTCATGATGTTTCAGATTTGAAGATCAGTGTTTTTTTTTTTTTAAGTAATTTTGGTAACACTTTACTTTAGGGTGCGCTTCTTAAGGCTACATGACACCAACATAAACCCTTCATGACAGCGGACATATCTTGACAAAAGCATTTATAAAGGTTCATTCCAACTTTTGTAGCAATAAGTAGGTCAGCCATACCCCTCCACCCCTTATCATACACGCCTGGCTATGGGCCCTTTAATAATGCTTTTTGTGGCACAGAATGTACACGAAAATGAGTGCCTGACACTTGGTGCCCTGTACCAGGTGCACATAGGCATATATGTTTTGTTGAAGTAATGAAAACTAGCAGTTTTTGTTAATGTGCTATTATAAATTGGTATTAAATACATAATAAATAAAGCATTGAGCCAACAAGAATTAAGGAAGAATTTAAGCAATTTAACTCACGTGTTCTGGCTTCCTGTTCTGGTTCTTCAGAGTTCTGTACCGTGGCCTAATGTTTTAAAGAAGGAATAAAACACTTTAACTTGAACGCGCCATTTCAAAATTAGAATAAAACATTTAGCCAACAAAGTTTTAACGAAGAAAACCCATTAACTCTTTTTGTTAGTGTGTATAAATTGGTATAAAATGTGCTATTTCAAATTGGAATGAAACACTTATCCAACAAGAATTAAGGATGAATTTAAACACTTCACCTCAAATGTCCCCCAGACTTGTGAAATGTTCCGTTAGAAATGATCAGTTAGAGCTGGGAACTGGGGTATATCATACAGTAGTTCTTCCCCTTGCAGAACCTGTTATACTGGTTCCTTATCACCAGTCTCCCCCCTCCTGCCAGCAGCTGCCAGAAGAACCAGTTTTCTATTCTATTCTTACAGCCATGCCTCTCCCAGCTGTGATAGATTGATTAGGTGCTCTATTTCAGTGTGGCTTGCACTGCTGTTTGGTGTGAGATTCTCTCAGTTTCAGGGAGTCTGACTGATTCCTATATGATTGTCAGTTTTCTGGGGGGTATTCCATGAAAGTAGCTAAAGAAAAACAGATTTTCCTGAAAAAGTCAGACTCAAACTAGAAAATATAAAAGAGATCAGAGAAATTATTGAGGCTGTATTCATGTCGGAAGCAAATAAATAAGTGCTTCCCTTGAAGAGGCTTAAGACAGTATCTACCAAAGTTTAGTTAAATGTGAAAATGGCACGACATGTAAAACCCTGATAAATACTAAATGAAAAACAGATCATTCAGATATTATGCATGTATATGTCCATCCATCTTCCAACCAGTTATCCTGGTAATGTTTTAAAGATAAAACTTCCATATGATGCATGAAAATGTGCCTATATTATTGATCAGAAACTCATATAAAAATTACTCATGTATTAAAATGACCAAGTTATTTGGATTATCTTGATCACATTTCATTTTATTCCTAGGCAGACAAGCGCTCAAGTACAATTGCTGTATTCATCTGGAAATCAACAATAGATGTAGGGACAAAAACTCCACCGGAGACACACTAACTGAAGAACTCCACGAGCCCTACCCCAAATCACCTGCAGCACTCAACCCAGCTAAGAGACACCGCAAGTGGCGCGAGGGAACCCGGAAGGCTGGGAAATTGGAAGGCGTCCAGCCTAAACTAAAGGCTAATCCATCCAGACCAGGGTACATGTGAGAAAATTTAGCAATGGTAATTCCGTTCTTGTTTATTTTTCTCTCTTAAATAAAAACTACCGATAAGAGTACGTTTAAGGAACCGTACCGACAAGCAGTATCGTTATGAGTAGTAGTATAGTTAAAATCTTAATGATACCCGTTTCTGAATAAAATGGGGGGACATGCCCCCCTATCCTCTGGAAGCCGGAGGGTAGAGAATTTCACTCTTGGTCTCTTTTTATGCCAAATGCATTGTGAAATATTTTTATTCCATTCTGTACATTGTTTCTGACTCAGAACTATAGTGCTTTTTCTATATTAATCTGCTCAGTAGTATGTATGGCTCTCTTTATATTGTCTTGAGTTGCCTATTTTTTATTAATCCAGTTTGGTCCTCATCTATTAAGAAAGGCATGGCAGTGTCCATTCTTTGTTAAGCTGCTGGTGTACAGTTTATAGTCTGTGTGGAGGACACTGACAGCTCTATATCCTCCCTGTCCTGTCCTTTCCTTCCTTGAGGATAGCTGATACAAAGGCTTCTCTGTATTAGTAATGTAATGAAAACAGGTCTACAGCATATTATTGATGTTCTGTCTTTTTAAATTCCCTCTCATTTCTCTTTTGGCTCCTAAAAATAATGGCCCACTTAGGGGGAGGGGGGCTACCTATGTTAGCCTAGGGCCCCCCAGAGAAGTTAGTCCATCCCTGTCCACGATTCTATCAGATGGCTTTGCTGACTGATGGATATGTAAGATGGAAGCTTGGTTTAGTGTCACATCTGCATGAAATACTCAGTTCTGCTCCAAACGGTCTAAATGCTGGTGGCTGCCTTCTTTGATTGCTTACTTGGATTACAGTGTTCAGTTTATTAAATGTTAGACAAGTTTCTCTTACACACCTGATACTATTTTCATGTAAAACATTCTGGGAAATTTACTATATAAGTTGTATACTTACCTGGTGCTGCAGTGAGCAGATCAAACACTTGCAGGTACTTGCAACTTCACAGCCTTCCTGTCTCAGACTTTGTGATCTTTGTAGTCATTGTGAGCAGAAATAGTTCTGTTTCTCTGCCCTGCCCTCAACTCCCCAACACAAGCTCCCAACACTCACATTTCTACATTTGTTAAAATGATCTACATTGGTTACTATTTCATTTAATAGCACCATATATGATGGCATAGTTTCACAGGAAACAAATATTAGATATTCCATAGTCAACTGTAAGTGGTATTATTGCAAAGTGGAAGCATTTAGGAACAACAGAAACTCAGCAACAAAGTGGCAGACCATGTAAGGTAACAGAATGGGAGTGCTGAGGCGCATAGTGTGTAAAAGTCAGGAACGCTCACAGAGTGTTAGAGTTCCAAACTTCCTTTGGCATTAACTCCAGCACACAAACTGTGCACTGCAAGCCTCACATCACCAAACGCAATGTCAAGCATTGGATAAAGTGGTGTAAAGCAGCATGTCATTTGACTCTAGAACAGTAGAAATGTGTTCTGTGGAGTGACAAATCAAGCTTCTCTGTCTGGCAGTCTGATACATGAGACTGGGTTTGACAGATGCCAGGAGAACGTTACCTGCCTGTCTGCATTGTGCCAACTGTAAAGTTTGGTGGAGGAGACATAAGGAGGGATAATGACCTCAACCCCATCAAACACTTTTGGGATGAACTAGAACAGAGATTGTGAGCCAGACCTTCACATCCAATATCAGTGCCTGACCTCACAAATGCTCTTCAGGACGAATGGGCCAAAATTCCCACAGACACACTCCAAAATCTTGTGGACAGCCCCCCAGAGAAGTGGCAGCTGTTGCAGCTGCAAAAGGGGGACCAGCTACTTGTTAATGTATGTGGATTTAGAATGGGACTTCATAAAGGTTCCTGTAGGTGTAATGGCCCTACACTTTTGTCCATACGGTGTACATAAAGCCAATACATCTACAAAATAAATTTATTATATAATAATTTATGTTTTGCTTGATTAAATGATACTCATGTGTTGTGTAATAGCACTAAATTTGAATTAATTTGAAATTAATTTATTTCCTCTCCCCGTCATTCGAGTTTGAATTGCAATTCAACATCTTACATGGTGGCCAATTCAATTTTAATTCCAATTCATGAATGGAATAGGGCACAACTCAAAAATTCTGAACAGCCCTAGTGCACAATGAGTCAAACTTTCTCTCTGCTTCTATGCAACTGTTAGATACTTGCAGACCATCGATGATGCACAGGGTTCTTGGCACTAGGCCTAAATGTCTAGGTGATGTACAAACATCATGGACATTTTACCAAACACTGTGGCCAAGTGGCCTGGGAGTGTATATGATGCTTATATCTGGTCCAGCTTTGGAGTGTCAGATGGCAAAGGATGGTGTGTTTGCTGGTGACTGGTTAATGATGGACAGCTGGGCTTTGTATCACACAGCAGGATTTCTTGCTTAGCCGGAAACATGTTGGATTTAAGATACCACAGTCATATGGACTTTATCTTCGTTCTCGTAGCGCATACAAGCATACACAAGTTTCTCATTAACTTTCTCAGCAATTTCTGCTGCTGTTACTGTGGGGTCAGACCAGACAGGCTAACCTTCGCTTGCCACATGCATCAATGAGCCTTGGGTGCCCATGACCTCATCACCGATTCACCAGTTGGCCATCCATGGACAACATTCGGTAGGTACTGTAAGTGGCACTCCTCCTTTTTCTTTATGCCACTAACGGAGCAGGTGTTTGGCAACTAGTCTGACGCGACGAAAAATTCTC